TGTAGCTTCCGGATACTCTTCAAGGGTAGCCCCATGTAGAGCGCGTTACAGTAATCCAACCCGGAGGTGACCAGGGCATGAATATGGAAAGAGCAGTCGTGGGGAAGTGGAAACCTACGGGATTTGGCTAATGTTCTTTTCTCATAAAGGCTGACATTCCTGCCAGCCAAGGTGGGAATGAAATTAATGGGAGATCAGTCATGTAACCCTGTATACCAGTGTTTTTCAAACGCAGCAACTTTAAGATGCTGGCTGGGGAATTCTGGGAGTTGAAGTCCACAATCTTAAAGTTGTCAAGTTTGAAAAACAGTGCTCTAAATCCAATGGAAATCTATACAATTCTGTCCTTGCCCTGACTTGCTCTAGATGCAAGAGCCATAACCTTCAGCATCAAACTCACAATCACAATCAATTTATTAAAAGGAATAAAACTAAGATCAAAGAATCCTATAAGGGTTTTGACAAGATAATGATATGTCTAAAACACATTGATTAGGAGAAATGTGATAATAGTAAGAAATAATACTAGTAATAAGAGATGATGATGATGATGATGATGATGATGATGATGATTTCCTAAACAATATTCAAATAGGAATAGTCATATATTGCCATTAGGAGACATTGCATACATCTCTGGTAGAGTGGCCCCCAACTTAAAGTTTCTCCCTTTTTTAAAGGGACTTCCAAACTCATGATAGATCTAGCCTCAGTAGTTCCTTTGGAATGAAAGAGGGCATTTGTAGATCACCAGTTGTGCTTGGGATCTTCTCAGAGGCACACATTTAGCTGGGCACTTAGGATACTGGGTTAAACAGAAGAACTCTGTCCAATGGAGGATCAAAATCATGGCTTTAGTTTCAGCAGGTTAATTCAGTAGGTGGTAGCCTTTGGTCAACTTTTTTGGGGGGCTAGGAAGCTAAGCAGAGTTGGGCTTGACTAGCAGTTGGATGGGAGACTAGGGAATTCCAAGGCAGCAGACTAGGCACCTGGAAGAAAACAACCACGTCTATATTATTACCAAGAAAATGGTATTTCCATGTCTGTGAAGATACCTGGTGTCAAGCATGACTCAGGGGCGTTTTTTAATTATTAATTATTTTTATTATTGAGATCATACATTATCTATTTATTATTCATGCTGTGCCCCCCTGTTTTGTAGTTTTGGTATAAACCACTGGGAGAAATTCACTGACCATTTCAAGCGTGCCCTGAACAACCTCCCTCCCAAATACCAACCTGACTCCCAGTTGGAATATCACCAGCTTATTGGAACCTACGGGACCCATTTCATCAGTCACCTTCAGTTGGGGGGCCGTGTGAGGGACGTGACCGCCCTGCAGGTCTGCAAGACGGTGTTGGATGGAGTGACTGCCGACGAAGTCAAAGACTGTCTTAACATCGAGGCCTCGATCAGCATCAGTGGAGGCAGCATAAGACCCAATGCAGCGTATAGTGTATGTGAAGAGCTGAAGAAAAAGAAGAGCTTTAAAGGCAACTTCCATCAGACCTACAAGGAGCGTCATACTGAAGTTGTGGGAGGGGGCATACACATTGACTTGCTTTTTTCCAAGGATCAGAATACTGAAGCTTACAAGGAGTGGTTGGAAGACCTCAAGTTTATGCCCGCCCTCCTCTCTTACTCCCTGCAGCCCATCCATACTTTGGTGCCTAAGGGTGACCCAAAGCGGGAAGGTTTACAGCAGGCAGTGACCGAGTATATCAAAGACAGGGCCCTTTGGAGGAACTGCACCCAGCCTTGTCCTCCTGGCACCCAACGCAGCATTCAAGATCCCTGCTCCTGCGTGTGTCCCAGTACCAGCATCACCGATAGCATGTGTTGTTCCCGGGAGCGAGGCTTAGCCAGACTCACGGTGACCATCCAACGGGCCTACGATCTGAAGGGGGATGTATTCTCCCATACAGATGCTTTTGTCAAGGTCATTTTCAAGGAGAAATCCTTCTCCACCCCTATTGTGCGTAAAAACAACAATCCAGTATGGAACATGCAGTTTGATGTGGGAGACATCACAGTCCTTGGGGAAACCACCCAGATCCATATTGAAGTCCTAGATGAAGATAACTACGTATTCTTCCAGCATCATCAAAAGCTGGGTTCGTGCAAAGAGAGTCTACAGTCGGGGAAACCACAAAATAAAATCTGCTACTTGACCCACGGCCGCCTGGATTTCCAATACCACTTGGTCTGTGGCCCCCACCTGGGGGGACGCTACTGTTTGGATTACGTTCCCGAGGTGCCCAATTACACGGGGGATTTGCTGCAACGAAAGAGCGAAGCCAACGCCTTGAAAACACAGGTTCCCTGAAGGGTTGGACCTCCTGGGCTTGTACGAGCAGAAAAGTTCTAGGTTACTTAATCCAGTGCAAGTTACTTAACCTAAGTTACTTAATGCAATGCTAGTTTCCTTCCCCCCATCTTCCCATCCCGGAGGGGTGTTCATGGAAAAGGGTTTGCCACTAGTAGTTCTGCTAGTCTTTTAAAGTGTGCATAACTCTCCGTCGCTTTTGGCTGATCAGTCTGTTGTTCCTCCTTAAAGAACAAAAATACAATTCTGCTTGCTAAAGTTTTGATATTAAGAATGCTGACATAATAAAGTGGATTTTCACAAGCTTAGTTGATTTGTATGAGTTTGTTTTAGGAAAAAGTAAACGTTGGGTCTTCTCCCTTCTGGCAATGCAAAACCTCTGCCTGCAGGGATGTTTTACCAGACCGAGTTCCAAGAAATCTTCACAACCATAAACTCTTTTTGTCATATATTAAATCTGTGATCCTTTAGGTGCAAACCCCCAAGGCACGATGCCATTTTTGTACTTGTGTGGTGCAGATATTCAAAGCCACGTTGAAACAAAGCTTTTCCTCTCATTCTATCTAGGCTTAATTTAAGATAGGATTGCACTTCCAATTTGTGGGGGACTAATGGCAAACTGCATGTTGCAGAGCAACAGCAAAATAGTTCAGATGGTTGTTTTTTTCTTTCCTAAAAATCTACAGGGTGGGTAGCGATTTGTACTTGAAGATTTGGGATGCTAAACAAAATACCAAGTCATTTTCAACGTTCAGTACTTTTCTCTTCAACACAGATCTGCAGACGGAACTCCAGATATAATATGGATTATCTCAGAATCCAAATTCACTTCTGATCCTTTAGCCACACATCTTTTCCAGTCTACTTTTGGCATTTGCAACAGGGGCGAAGCTTCTACTGTGACGCCCACACCTATCATCTTGCATATTTTGATACAATCAGGACACCTCTGACTTCAGACTTTTGAATTAGCAGATTCCACAACTGGGGTGTTATGGGGCACAACCTCCCCACAGTATCCTCCTTATCATCCAGAGGGCCATTATCACACTCTCCAGAAGAAAAGGAAGGAAACATTCATTGGATGTCCCAGGCAACTTACCTTGATAGACAACTCATTCACAAAAATCTAATTTTTGTATTTATGATGGAAATTTGCTTTTAATTTATTTTAAGATTGTTCACTGCCCAGAGTCACTTGCTGAGATGGGCAGCCATACAAATACACAAATAAATAATAAATAATGATCAAGAATCACAGATTAGGAAATGCATCCATGAGGACATCCACACCAACCCCCAATCTTAGAGCACCAAGATTGGCACAGTCACTATTTTAACAAGTAGAACTAGCTTAGAAAGCATGCAGTTATTGGAAGAAATTGCTGGAATTAATCTTAACTGAAATTCCACAGATGTGCCAAGTTATAAAGCTGTGGCATATAAGAGAATTAGTTTTTAGAACTAGTGTTTATTTGACAGCCAGTGTGGGAGAGTGAGGGAAGTGCGGGACTGGCAGAGGTTCAGATCCATCCCCTGACAGTCCCTCTCTCTTGTCCCAAACTACCTTGCAGGGATGCTGTTATGGGGACAAATAAGAGGAGGGAATGCTATGTATGTTCCCTGGGGCAGGATACAAATTACATACACAGACACAGAGACCCCCCCCCCCCCCAGAGGAGTAAAGCTCCTATTTGTTCTTTGAACACATTTACCACTAGCCTTAAATCAGTCTGCTTTCACTATGGTGCCTTCTAGGTGTGTCAGACTACAAATCCCATAATCCTACATTGCAGGGTCAGAACAATAGCAAAACCTCCAAACTGGGGAAGACTGTGCTTATAGAATAAATTGCCCAGCTTATGCAAAATGAGAACAAAATAAGGGCATTCATTTTTAGAAGAGCTCTTTTTTGGGCAGGGTAGAGTGTTTGAAACTTCCCATTCTGGCTGATATAGATATGGAATATTAATGAAGCAAGGCTAAGAGGGAAAATATGTATATTTTACCCTATAAAATTTGGTGGAACTGAACTCATGCTGAGGTTTCCTTGTGAAATCTGTTTGGTGGCCAGGGGTCAGACCATTCATGTGGTGATGCTCCAGCGATCCATTTGACATAAGCCTCTATTGGCAAGTTACCCTACAGTTGGGGTTTTGTGCGCTCAGCCATTTCACACAAGCAAGCTGGATGACGAACAGATGTGGAAGCAAGTTGGATTTTTGGAAGCAAGTTAGTTCTGAACATGGATGTCTGCAGATTATGGTCCAAAGCAGTGTTCCTCAACC